AATTGCATGGTGGGAATACGAAAAATGGGACGCCCCCTACAGCTGGATCTAAAAAAACTTGTGCCAAACTTTCGTTACCAAGTCGTACTAGATATAAAAACAAACTGGAATAGACACCCAGACAGTGACATCGGTGAATACATAACCTCTTTGGTGGCGGTAGAAATCGTTGCTATTATCCAAATAATATACAAAACAATTAAAGCATAATCATGAATCAGTAAAGAATAAAACAATACAGCGCAGAATCGCATGGCCGGACGCACTCTTAGTGAAAAAGTTTTCCTCCGTTAGTGGAAAAGGAAGGGCGCCTTCTGCGTCTGGATATACTTAGCAACAGAAGGGCGCCCTGTACGTTGGGCACGAAGTATAGGAAACTTGCATAGTTAAAAAGAAGGGCGCCGCCTACGTTGGGCACGACTTCCGCCTCATTTTTACAATGCGAGAACTCTATCTTGTATTTCTAGTATCTTTGTTCGATAGGCATCTATCTGACCAAGTGCCTGGCTCTTCTTTTTCTGCCCACTTCCTAATCATATCCACCCAAGAAAAATAGGCAGACGGAATGCAGAAACAGGGCACGAGTTACAAAGTAACAATACTAATATGCAATTATACGAACCCAACATCCATTGTCAAAAATAAACATCACATATGTAGGCCGAAGATTAAAAGCTATTTTTTGTATTTGCTTCACATCCCTTGGGTTTCCGAATTCAACTATTCAAGTTGGTTTTAAGGCCAACTCAGACAGCGTCGGCCGACGCAGCCCGACGCGATTTGTTGTAGCGTCGGGTCTGTGTGAGTTGAACGCAGACGCGATGGTGTGCGTCGGGGGCAGTCGCGTAGTAGAATATTAAACGTGTTTAATATTTCTCACGACGGCTTAGGACTGTCCCCGACGATAAATCGGATCGGGCTGCGTCGGCCGACGCTGTCTGAGCTGGCCTTTAGAGTGTTTAAAACTACTTAGAAAAAGCCGAGCACTTGTTAACAATAGCAAGTATAGGTGGTCATGTTTCTATTAACAAAAAACCTTTTTCTCTAAATACTGAAAATTGGTCGGAAAAATATTATTTATTTTAGCAATGTTGCGAGGACCGCATCAACAATCCTTTGCCGACCAGAGTTGGCCACGTGTCGGGGGTTTGAAACTACAGTTTACTATTCGACTTTGACTGTAATACATTAGTTTTGTAATAAATATATAAGCGTTATAAATCTGCCCCTGAAGGAATTAATTTTGCCTGCAGGTTGGCTGGTTCCAAAGTAAAGTTATTCTGCGATTCTTGCTCTAGTTTTCGGCTAAATAAACATTTATTCATTTTAACGTCACAATATGTAAATCATAATTAGGACAAGTCTTATTAATGCCGTTTCCTTTTGAAACCACAAAATGTGACATTTTGTTTCTGTTTTTAATATAACAATCAACAATACATCAAGGTTTGCATAAAGTGATGCATAACATTATGGCGTCTGCCATAGAATCTAGAAAATCCTAACCAGATTAAAATACAAGCTAATGTGAAGGTTAGTTTTAGGGTTACAGACATTCCTCAGAGTGCTCCAGTGGTGTAGAATTGAGTACGCTGGAACACAGTGTATAAAAATAGACAGCTATCCCTAATATACCACCGATATCCTCCAGTGGCGAATTTAGAAGATGCAAGGCGGCGCATGACCCCCTTCCTAAAAATAAAAACTCGCTTCACCCACCCAGAGCATCCAAGTCGTTCCCCATTGAAAATTTCTGAAAAAATTCGCTTAAGAATTTAATAATCGCCTAATATCACCATTATTATGCCAAAAAGCGCCGCCACTACATTAATCATCTAGCCCACTCCACTTTTCCACCAGTTACGAAAGGGCCCCAGTACACGATTAATTGCCGGGCGCCTTGATGTGATAAGGGAATTCCCTAATATTCTCAGAAAATTCAAAAGTGGGGTCAGGGAGAGATTTTACAGGTGGAGAATTAAGGCCACCTCACCCCCACCATGGTTGGGCTGAGTATTACAAATAAAAATATAATTATAGCACTTTAGATGGTGGAAAATGGCTCACTCAGACTTATATTTTATAATTTTACCTTTTCCCCATTTTTTATAGCATTTTTGAAAAAAAAAATAGTGGGGGCGGGGATCCGACTAGGGCACCCTTGAATACACCCACTGATTTGAAATCAACACAGTAATCGATAATTAGGACCTACTGCTCTAAAAACCGAATATTGTTGAGGGGCCCGCTCTTCATAAATATTAAGTCGGAAATTACTTATTATTTTAGGTCAATTTATGAACGGCGCCCCCATAGCCCTGGGCCCCAGTGCTTAGCACTGTCTGCAATGCCGGTAGCTACGCCACTGATTTCCATTTTTGATAAAAATGACAGTATCGAATTCCATAAGACATTACACAGTTTAAGCGCGCCCTCTGTTTGGTTCGTTCAACTTCACTCAAGATTATTATTTAATAACAATTTTTCTTAAACTGATAGTGAAATAATATTTCACCATCAAAAAAAAAGAAAATGTATTATTATGGCACGTCTAGATGGCCGGAAATGGCACTCACAGAATTGTGTATATAATTTTCTTTTTATCTCATTTTTCATCTCAAATTTCTTCATTTTTTTTTTGGACAAATTTGGTAGGGTTCCGTCCCCGTCGGGCCTACGTGGCCCCCCTCTAATTAATCGTTATAATATGATATATGATATAAAAGTTTTAAATGATATAATTAAAAATAATAAATAGGCCTAATAGTTGGATTTCAATGTATAGTGCATTATACAAAAAAGCCTCTATGCGCTTAGTGATTGAGCTCTTTGGGTATTGCAGTTAAAAAAAAGTGATGTAGTCGTCCTAAGAAATTAAAACCTACTCCTTAAAGTGTTGGCTCTAAGGAGTTTATCCGCCCTTTGTTTAGCTGTTTTTTTTTCTTCCTGCTGGGTGTCTATCCTCCCTTCCACCGGCCACTAAGACGGCCGGTGGAAGGGTGGGATCGATTATCCTCTCCATTTCAATTGTGTAAATGTTATATTTATTCTGGTTAAAAATTGAAATTTTATATCATTACACAATTTTTGTTTCAAAAGTAAATGCGGCTTTATGTAAAAATAACAGGCACTTCCGGGGCTAGGAGGAAAGGAGTCTAAAAGTAAAGCAATTACTACTTCACAAGTTTACTATTACCAGGATATTCGAGGTTGTTCACACTTTAAGGACCTAGCATGCATTTCCAAAGTGTTTTGTTTTTAACTTTTTTCATTTGTTTTATTTATATATTTTTTGACTGATAAGATATAATAGAAGTAAATGACTGAGCTGATATTTTGTGGGTAGCACTTTGTATACAAAAGAGATATCTTAAAAAATCATATAAATTGTAGAGAATAGCTGTTGTCCCAACATCGTTGTTGTTGACAATGATGCCAAACTCCATGTCATCACTATCTAAGCCGCTGCAGAACTTATCAGTGATATTCTGCAAATCTTCCTGAGACAGCCTTTATGAAATGATGATAGCATTTGCATATCTGATATAGTTACCCGCCAGCACTCAGAGTCATAGAGAAGGATAGCTTTCACAATGCTGTTATACAACTGTCTTTTTTAATCGGAATTGTTGAGATCTCCAAATTGACTGCAGTTTGATAAATATATTCCTTGCTTTGTTGATTCTAGATTTGATGTCTTTGCTGGTACTGTCCTTTATGCTTACATTGCTACCCAGATATGTAAAAACACTGTAAAAAATTACGCACAAACTATATCTTAGTAAACTTCTATTCACACTCAAATTTTGTGACAAATATAAATTGTCAATAAATGGACATGATTATGTCACAACACATCTATATTTGGGCATGATGTCATATCATGCCCATATATGGGAAAACTATGTGTACTTGAGCTTTAAAGGACAGGTTTATAATTTATTTTAATTTTTTACTTCATTGGAATTTGTGAAACCTGCTTGACTCACCAGACGGCTTTTGAGCCGAATGCATAGTAGCTGCCATTGCTATAGCCGTGGAGTACGAGTTGTTGTTGAACAGGCCTGGCCCTGTGGACACTATGGACACCTTGGCTTGCTTGCTTGTCTGCCTGTCTATGTCTGGCAGCAAATATGTCTTGGGTGTCATCGTAGTATACACGTCTGTAGTTCAAGTACTACTCCTTCAGAGCTTAAATCAATGATGAGTAGTAAGATAGTAAGCATGTAAAATAACATATCCTCTACAAACAGTATATCATGATCAAAACATTAATATAATAACAATACTAATATTCAATAATAATTATATGTTATAACATTTATTTTTTTCATAACAATTACATGATGATAATCATAACACTAATAATCACCATCACCACCAATTACCCTAAATGAAATTTACAGCGTTTTCACTGCAAGCATTGTACTGCGTAGCTGGCCCCAAAGCAATCAGGAACTCTCCCTCATTAAACTAATCAATCAGCCTCGCCAAAGGAGTCAGGAATAACGTGTAGCGTTTGTATGGAAACCAGACTTTACCTGAGCACCCAATCAGTAAATGTAATCTAATAATTTTTAAAAATATTCATGGGCCCTCTTAAATAAATGAAATAATGTGATGCATTTTGATAAGTGTCTTTATGAGGCTTAGTGAGTGGTGTTGTTTTTAGTCATAAGAAAAAGTCCTGTTGTCACAGGATTTGAACCCAGGACCCTGGGATTTGAAGGTAAGCATCTTAACCACGAAGATTTTCAACTCAACTCCAATGATGGACATTAAGGTGATAAGCACTAGTTGTATATTACCTCATCATCAATCTTTGCATTATCGTCTTCATTATCGTCTTCTGGAGCAAAGAATTATTTCTCACCGTAACCAACATCCTAAAAAACATATGATTGGATATGAGTTATACTAACTGGTGAACAAGAGATCTACAGTTTGAAAAACTATTGATAGACAAACAAAACTAACATTAATTTTAAATGGAATGCATTCTATACAAATGACTCAAGTCTACAATATTGAAGAATAAGATAATGTTTAATAAGTCAAACAAATATATTTAGATGTTGGGATGTGTCCAATAGAATGGCAACAATTGTGTTGTTGAATGTGTTGTTGTCATGTTGAAGTTGTGCTGCTTGAGGAGTTGTGTTTTTTCTTAACCTGTCCAGAAAAATATGCCCTTACCTGTAGGAAGTCTCTTGATTATTAGCTTTCTTGGAGTTTGGTCCGGGCACTTCCATCAACGGGCATTCCTGCCAAACAGTGAAGATTGTGTTCAGGTTCCGAATAAAATACTTCTGTCTGGTTCTAATCACCAAGAAATCTGTAGTTGGCATCTTGTCTGTGTATATCGGGGCGCGGTAGAGGTTGTTCTCAAGGGCTTGTAGGGAGGTGCCAGGGGGGATGTTTCCGAGGAATGGGGAGGTGTGTACAAATGTTGTCTCACCAAAATGAAATGATGGTGGCTTTGCATCAGTTCCAGGTTTCTGAAGATTGAAAAATTATAATAACCTTCATAATTATATACTATTCTACATTTTCACTAGTGTATAAACAGTATGCTAAAAAGGAGAGGGTAGACAAATTTTACATTTTTACATATATGTATAAAAATGTTGATTCAAAATAACAAGCATTATGTTAAATAATGGTAAAATAAAAATGTAAACATGGATATAATATTCATTTTTAAGCAACTTTAGTTGAATTTACAAAAAAATGGAGAATGGTTTTGCAAAATCAACATTTTTTGTACGCTTTTAGAGGGGAGCGAGGGGATACCGAAAAAGAGTACTGTTTGTACACTTGTTGATAATTGTGAATGACCCCTTAATAATATTTAAAAACTGGGAGAAAAGGGGCGTAACCACCCTTTTTCCAATTTTTTCCCAGAGGTTTTAAATATTCAAAAATCTTTATCTCATTAACCATTTCCAAGTGTTTTGTCAAACACCATTTTTGCCTCTTAGAAAAATCAGTTGCACAACATATTAAAATTAGTTTTTCCTCCACAGCCTGGTTTAGAATTAAATGAAATTATTAATATAAAAGAAAAAAAGTGTTTTTATATAATATATTAAACATTTTGTTGAATGGAATTTGAAAAGCACATTAGGTTACAAAGTTACAATAGTTTAATCTGTTAACTTTATTCATTATTTATTTAGTCATAAAGACCAAGAACTGCAAATAACTTCATGAAAGTGGTCCAATATACATAATGTAAGTCCCCCTATGAGGCTAAGGCAATGGAATTTTTTTATTGTGATGAAAAATACAGATATTCCACATGATTTGAACCCTAGACACAAGAATTGAAAGGCAGGCACCATGTTACATTTCCACCCTATTTGAGTAAGCATTCAAACATTTTACTATGTGAACATGTTAAACAAACTGAAAACTCACCCTTTTATAGAAGTTCAAAAGCCTAGTTGCCATGCCAACTTGTAAAAGCTGCAGAGGATACTCCTCGCAATACTCTGTGAGAATGATTTCGCCGTCCATACCCATCAGATCTTCCGGTTTTCGCATGTAAAACATACTGCCCCCTCCTGATGCAACTCGCTCTTGTTCCCTTTGCTAGATACATATAATATACAGAGGATTTTTTACATTTCATAAATTTATTTAAAAAAAATATAGATTATATCTTAATCGTTGGTACTGGTATTAGTATGGGTGTTTATAATGCGCCTCTTCCTTGAGGTTATAAAGCAAAGTTCTTTTCCCTGGTCATTAGGTCCACATGCTTTAAGTGTTGCTGCTGGAAATCAGCGGGGGAGCCAGCAACCCCACCAGGTACCCATTTATACTCCTGGGTGGAGAGAAGCAATACAAATAAAGTGCTTGCTCAAAGACTCAAGAGAAATGCACAGCAAGGGATTGAATCCCTGACCCGCTGTGTCAATGGTTATTGAAGAACACACCACCCTCTACAGATGTAACAATGGCAAGAAAAATTATAACTTCCATTAGAATATATATAAAAAATATATTATAAAATAATAGCCATAGTTAAAAATACTTTTTACAACAAGTAAATGTCTAGGAATAATTAAAGATAAGTAAATATAATTCACAGTTTCACATTCAACATGTGTCTAGAAATAACACATCAAAAAATGGTGAATTACACAACTTAAGAAACAGAAGATCAGTTCATATATCTTAAAACAAGGACAAAATTGTAACAGGTTTTTGCTGAGGGATACACAAGAGCTTTTGATTTGTGCAAAGATGTGAAGCTATAACAGATTAACTCATGCATGGCCATCCTACGTTCTCTGAACAACACAGATTTGGTCAAGTTCCTTCCTAGAATCAATATAACAAGGCGATTTTGATGTTCTCACATGTGCAGATAACTTATTAGTGACTTTGTGTGTCCTTATCAAACATAGTCTGATGTGGTATCCATGATGCTGTAAACACACACTCTCAAAGAAAAACATGATACAAATAAACTTACCTTGGCCTTAAGTTCAATTCTCCTCACCAATGGCCAGACTTCATGGTGTCCAGGGTTTGCGAGAGGACCATGCGAGAACTTCTTCAAAATAGGCCGATGGAAATGACGGAGCTTAAATGGTCCAAGATGTGTTGGAAAGAAAGGCTGTCTCAACTCAACAGCTGGAGTTGAATGCTTCATTTAAAAAAAATAATCATTTAGTTTTCACACAAGAAATATTTATAAAAGGAAAAAACAATAAATATTGATGTTTACATAAAAAAATAATTACTGATTACATGATGTAATGCTCTAAACCAAATCCCTTTATTAGGATAAGTGAGTGGAGTTGCTTAATTGTGATAACAGACGGGTACTTTAGTATTTGGTGCCAGGAGCCTAAATTATAAAGCAAACACCTTAACCATCTTAATATAAAAATAAAAAAATGCTTATAAATCAGGTCAATGCTTACAGAGTGTTAGAAAGTCATAAACAAAATCCCATAGAGTGGTACCTTGTATATTCAGGTACTTACTGCGTTGTACAACCGTCTTACGACTGCTGTACAATGGACTCAACTCAACTTCCACTGGGTGATAGCAATGCAATGCCTTCAGCTGATTGTCAGTGGCCGTCTCAACAGATCGTCATCAAAAACAACCCATTGCGTGAGCGTCGTGGCACTGCGTTCTCCATAGAATCGTATCGGCCGACGACCGCCGTGCGTAGTAAGTGCCCAGCTTAGGAAATTTTTAATAGAGAGCATGATGGAAGGTTCTTTTACCTGTAGGTTTCCTGCCATGCTGACTCTCAGCTTATTCTCACCAATGTTCTTGGGGTAATAGTACTCATCATTTGAAATATTGTACGGATCTGTTCCCCCATCATCTTCAATTGGGTCATCCTAAAGGAGCAACAAAAATCACCATTATCGGTGCAGAAATATATCAGTAGGGGTCATGCAACGTGTGAAACACTAATGGGGGGGGGGGAAATTGCTATAAAGTTGATTGTTAAATAAGGTATGCATACACAAATTACAACTTTCATAGAGGCATCATGCAGCACTTTCAATTCCACTGTCTTTTCTCTCTCTCTCTCTCTCTCTCTCTCTATTCTTTGTTTAGGGGGGAGGGGTTGGGAGTGTCTGGCTCCCCCATGGCCCCCACCAGGACCTTTTCCTGTTTATAACATATTATATACATTCAAATGTCTCTGAAAAAAAAGTTTTTGGCATACTTCGTCATCGTCATCTCTGGTGACTCCAGCTTTCTTGAGCAGCACTTGGGATCGTCTTGGTTCCTTCTTCTCCTTAGTTGGGGAAAGGG